AAAAAAAAATACAGGGTAATATAGAATATTATTCCAAAATTTGTATCATGGAATACACGTGTAAACAAATTTTTGATCTTCAAATGTACTTGATAGTGTTTGCGATGGGGTTTTAACATCAAGATCCTTTTGAGATAAATTCCTCAGCTGATTATGCATGGCTGGAGGATTCACATTATGTGCTTGTGTGACAACACGTTTTGAGTATTAAGTTGAGGATTAGAGTAGTAAAGGCTGAAACTATCATTTTTTTTAAATTAGGTTGCATGGTATCACAAGTGTGCTATTACTTTTACTACTATTGAAACTGAAACTTATTTTAAGATAAAAAGAATGTTCTTTCAAGATTTTCAACTTCAATAGTGCTAATACAAATTATGGTAATCAAATTTTCTATAAATATGCACATGCTATAAGGAAATGATAGATAATAGTACGTTAGTGGTGAATGGTACTTTTAACTCAATCAACTCGAATTATTTTCACTTCTGTCTTCTCGAATGGAACATTCCACAGAGCATAGCAAAGTGTTGTAGGAAAAAAAGGCAGTCAGGAGGATTCCCTTTAATTAAATTTTGTGCTATGGGAAAAAAAGTATAGCATTTCTTTTCTCTTTACCTTGGCATTTTCTCTTCTATATAAATATCTTGGGAAATGTATGCGTATATTTTAGATATGCCACGGGAATGAAGGACCTTGAAGTGTTGTTCTTTTCTTCTCATTTCGCACTTTATCTACATCTTCCTCATTTTATATAGGCTCTTTTTTTTTACTTCATCGTTTTAAGTATTGTTTCATAAGAAAGGGCTTTTGATGCCATACCTCTTATGTACCTATCATTTATTTTTTGTTTCATTCTTGTTTGGCAATATGGAAAAAATGGGATAATTTTACATACCCTTTTGTGATTCTCATCTTATGCTCGGTGTCTATCTTCTTTCCTTTATTCTGGTCTTCAAGAAATATCTTTAAACAGCGTTGTTGAGGGGAAATGCTTGAAAGCTTTAATTTGACTTACTAGGTTGTGTGAATTAGACTTTTTTTCTGGCTGGATGACTAGTTTGTATGCTCAATTAGGATTTCAATTAAGTTTCGAATTTAACAAATTTTTACAACAGCAACAATCGCTGTCAAGTACCTAGAGATTTTCATTAATCTGATTTATGCATAATTTAGTGATGTGCAAGCAATTGGTCAATGATTTCAATTATGTAACCAGTTCATCCTTTAGCTTGTCATATTTTCTGAACAATAAACTTGCTCTTCTGAATTCCTTTCGGTCAATTAAGGAGTAAACTATTCTCTTTTTCATATGTACAAGATTCATCGAATATTATTTCTCTTAGAAAGAAATCTGATGAATGCGCTTTCAATTTCCTTACATGATGACTATACATCATATCATAAATGTTGAATAATCTCATATATGTGTATGACATAAAACAGGAAAACGATTAAAATCTTGAATAATTTAATGACTTTCTGTTATATGTATATGGATATAAAATGAGTATGAGAATGTGTATGTAAGGAATAAACATTCATAACAACAAGGTATGCTTTTCAGCATACAAGTTTACATTTAAAAAGCATGAGAAGGAATTGATGATGCTGAAAACTTCCGTCCTTTTTAGGTACTTTTTGTATAACTGTTGTGCTTATGTAAGGACAAAACTGCTGTTAGAAAAAAAAAATCTTTCCCTCTTCTCTTTTTGTGAAGCATTTTTAAGTTAAATTGTGTGATAAAAGATTAGCGGCGGTGAACATTTCTCTGATATTATTTTATTTATTCTTTTAATATGTTTGCTGCTTTTAAACGTTGTTGTAATTTTCTCCCATTTCATTGCCATTGCCTGATGTTTTTCCTTTTTCAAACAACTTTTAAATTGCACGGAAAATTTTTCCTTAATTACTTTTGAGAAAAATAGGAAAGTTATTAAAGATTTCAAGTTGGGGTGTTGGCATGGGATTGTTGATATAGGCGTTGAGTATTTTGAGCATATGTTGAATATATTGAAAGATTGATGCTAAATTTGAGGAGTGGGTTTAATGTTTTAAAAATCTTAAAGTATTAAAAAGCTTTAAATTCAACCCTTAAAATTTATTTCATTAATTACTCCAAACTGAGAGCATTATCATATCAAATTCATAAAAGTATTCGCTAATTAATGTTTTTCTCCTGTCTAAAATTGAATCATTTCAGTAAAACTTTTTGAATGTGAAAATTAGAAAATATTAAGAAGCAAAAAATATGAAAAAGAGCTTTTCACATCGTACAAACTTTTTATTTTGTTTGAATTAATTCATCACTTCACGGATCCTCATACCTCAAATCACCCAAAAAGAAAACGAATATATTTTAAGAAAGTAAAGCTTTATAATTAAAATAATAAATCTAAGACGAAAAGTTTTCATCTTTGTGGTCGTGAGAATTTATAAACATGAGCTCAAAATGGGGGAGCGAATTCATTCTTTTAAAGTTAATTAAATTTCTTTAATTCTTTACGAATCATAAAATCTAGTACTAGAATAGTTGATTAAGGCATGCGGTAGTTTAAGTAGATTCTGAGGCAAAAAGTTCGAGTAATTAAAAAAATGTCGGAGATTTTTGTAATTCAGCAGACAAAATGAAAAAATTCTACATGTACAAAATTTACATGTGACATTAAAATATAGGATTTGAACCTACAACTTTTCCTTCTTTCTTACTTATTAAAAATTCTTATGAACTTTGATTATCACAATCTCGCAAAAAGCTCTTCTGTCTCATCTGTGTATTTATGTCTGTAAGGAGAATGTATTAGAATGAATGTGATTATGATGAAATGCTGTATAACGCAATTAACGTGAAATTTTATTAGTATTCTGTTTATGTAGTGCGGTTTGCAAAAGCTTAAAGATACAATTTTTTCTGCTCTGTTTTGGGGTTTATATTTATTCCTACGTGATTTTGTTTTTTTTTTCAGCAAAACAAACTCTCCTTAATTTATTTTGAGCAGAGTTTTTTTTTGTTGAACTTTTCAATTATTGGGTTTTGTGATTTTAAAAGTGTTTAATTTTACGCCTTTGGTTGTTCACATCTCTTTTCATTCGGAGGCTAATTAGATGTAAAACAGAACATATCTGAGCTTAATAAAAATAAAATTTTCTGTTTTTGGTGTTTGCGGCTGTTTTATCTCGCGGCAAAAATTTTATATATGTGCTTTATCATTTAGAAATTTTAATCATAAACCATCGTGCTAAAATTATCGATTTTGAGAGAATGTGGGAAATTTTTTGAATGAGAAAAAAATATATTGCGCAATATTTTCATGCTTATTTGATGCTTTTGTTTAGATTTTATATAAGTAAATATAGATGCTTTGGAAATGAGTCAGTATAAATTGTTTTTAATTTAAATTAGAAGTGATAAGTTTGCTTAATTATTGTAAATATAATTTTTGTGAATAAAAAAAGTCAAAAATATATTCAAATTTTAATTAAAATAATTTTAAATTAAATTTTAAAAAGCTGTTAAGGATTTTTAACTAAATTTCTGTCTGGTTCATTGACTCATCTTCAAAGTATTATTCTCAATATATATGGATATAAATATTCAATTTGTTAATTTTCTGCTATTGTTTCTTTCTTTGTTGTTCTTTTTTCCGTTTCATTTCCAGGTTTTATCGTGAATTGGGCTTAAAAAAATTATTTAAAAAACATATAATTACAAATTTATTATAAAAAATGCTTATTTTCCCTCCTTTCCCAAATCTTTCTTCTTAAAATCAACTTTTCTTTACACATAAAATAAACTTTTTTTTTACATATTTATCAGTTCATTTGTACAATATCACTTCAAATTTGAATTTTCACTACTTAATTTAAGTTCATCGTGTTTGTTTAATTTATTTTTAAAATGATTAGCTTCAATTATCACTTGATTTCTTAATTATTGGCGGATTTTTTTGAAACCTTAGAAAACACGCGAATTCTAGTTATTTTTGAACAAGGTTAGGTTTTTAACGAATTTTTCTAATGATTTTTCCATCACGGTATCTCTTCCATTAAAAAATCCAAAATTTAGACTCATATTAAATATAAACCTTTTAAATTTTCCAGTGATAACTACTACTAAGTGTCCATTGCCTTTCTTTTAAGATATATCGGTTTCACACGCTAAACGCGTTAATTTCACTGTCAATATTTATTGTTTTACTTTTAAAATTTTTTGCGAATTATTTTTGACTCCTATTTGTTTATTATTTAGCACATTTTAAGGAAAATATTTTAATTATCCAAACTAATTTGACACAAAATTATTTTCTTGCTAATTGAGTTTATTCTAAATCTATAGCTTATGTTAAACTTTTAAAAATACTCTCTATATTCCTTTATCTTTACTTTTATTACACTTTACTATCCTGAATGACAAAACTGTACATTGATTTTTATTTTTCAAAATTAAAATCACGAATCAAGCAATATAATCATTTTTGAAAATTTGATTGACATTTCGACCAGTAGCTTGCTTTTAAGAGATAAATTACAATGAACATATTTTTTAATAAACAATTTCACGTATCATCATCATTATATCAAAAATAAACATTTTGTCACTCAGGATAGCTTTCCAATTCTTCTTCTTTATGTATTCCTTTATAACCTAATTCTATTAAGGATATAATAAATATTAAATTATAATGTATTATGTGTGCTATAGTGAAATAATAATCAATATATAATTAATTTAATCAATATAGAATGTAATTTGCATTATTATTACGACCTATCATATAACAGTAACAAAACTGTGAACACGATGATGACAAAGAAACATTGAAAGTTAATTAAAAAAAAATAGTTGAAAGAAAAAAAATAAATTTTTTATCAATTAGAAGGAAATAGAGATAAACTCAATATTTATGTCAATTAAATAACGAAACGCTTATCATCTCGAATAAAATCTTCTCAGTCATTTCTCATCAATTTATCATACTTCAACTCAATTATTGTAGATTTTTTTTTCGTTCTGCTTTGAGATTGTAACAAGCAAAAAATTATTTCAAGAGAAAAGAAAATTTTCCAATTTCATTGTCAATTGAGATGAATTTAAGTCAATAGAAAGACTTCCCACACACAATTATTTTTGTCATCATTATAATTTTTTTGGAAAGTCATCATACTCGAATTTAAGTGAAATTCAATAAATCAAATAGAATTTATAAGGATATAATATAATAATAATATAAACAATAAACAAAAATGGCTGCGTCACGTGATGAGCAATCACCAAAGCAACGCAACTCACCATTAAGCAAATTTAGTCCTGGTTTTAAATCGTCATCGCCATCTCATTCACTTAGTTCCGAATCACAACAACATTTAAGTCCAACGAAATTCTTTAGCTCATCGCCTAACGATAATCATCATATGATAACAGGGTCAGGTCCAAGTCGACAACGTTCATTACGTGATCGTTTACGCGATGGAATTAGTAGCAGTCTTACTTGGCAGTAAGTGAAATTAATTCAAATAATATTTCTGTCTTTATGTGACACACCCCCACCCCTCACTTCATCACTTAATCAATTACTTTTAAAATCATACAAAACATACATAACAATAATCCTAGCACAATAATATAGTTTATAGAATAGATTGTTTTATTTAACAAAATAGAGTGTGTGTTTTATTCGTTCAATCTTGAAAAATGTGGTGAATTTTTGAAAACTTTAATTATTTTACGATTTTAAATCGTGTAAAAGATGCTGTAAAAGTCGCTAATCATAAGACTTCGACAGCACATAAACCTATGTTCATGAATTGGATGTCCTGTTAAACCTGAAATTCTAATGATAAAACTGAAAATACCTGGACTGATAATCAACGAAATCCGGATTAGTACTAGCCACCGACGAAAAAGCGATCGTATACTAACTTTTGCATTGACAACTATCAATTTTGGCATCAAAATAATCTAGAAAATCTAAAATTTTATCAGAAATGCGTGTCGAGAGCCAGTTATATACTGCTTATAGTTCTCAATTCCTTATAAACTCCAAAAATCTCAATTAATAACCATTTCGTGGCGCCAATTACGTATCATCAAAAGATCTTTGAGTCTGTAAATTGAAGTAAAATTTCTGATTCTTCGTCAAACGAAACAAGCAAAAAAAACCTTCCATAGAAAATTAATGATGCTTCTCTGACTTCTTCCTTGACTACCAAAAGAAAAAGTCTTTAAAAGCCAGAAGATTTTTATCCATAAAACCAAATGCTTGTGCTATCAAATACGACAACAATTTATATTAAATTGTACTATCATTAATTTATTCATGTTAAATTTGTTCACAAATGAAGACATATCTTCGTTCTTACGTGATGCGAAACATTATGCTTTTGACATTCTTGATTAAATACCATTAATTGCTTCTGGGGTATGATTAATTAAAATAATCATCATTGCTTTCTGTCCACATAGAAAAAAAATTGTGTTTTTTTAGATGATTTATTCTTTTCTTTTGGAATGTTCTTAGTGATGATATCTTGCTTTGATGAAGTTTTGTAGTTCTAGCTGCTTTTTGAATGATTCAAAAGTTGTTTGAAATTCAGCATAAAAATGAACATTCATCCTTTATTTTCAAAACCCCCGGAGTCAAAGTGAAAGCTTTTGTGCCAAAAATAAAAAATTTTATTATGTTAAAAAAACCAACAATTCCCAATGCAAATTTCATCAGACATGAAGATTAATGACTCAAAACTGACTCTCTGCTAGTTATTTTTATATTCATTTCTTCTTGTTTTCTTATGAAATTTTCATCACATCCGTTAAAGGTACGACAACATCTTTTTTGTTAGGCGGCATACAATTCAATTTTTGACATTTTCTTCTTGATTCTTCCAACTTTTGTTGAAAAAATCTAATTTTTTGTTGTGAATTTTATGTCACTTCATGCTTTTGTGACGTTTTATCATTAATACAACGAATTTATGGCTTACTTGTAGTAAAGTCTGCCTGTAAATTGATGTAAGATCAAAACATTTGTGTAAACTCATCAGAATTAGCAAATTAACACATTTTATTCAAAATAAAGTTCAAAATTCAGCACGGTTAATGCTAATGATTAAATTAAATATAAATTGCAATTAGCTGCATGAGTGATTTATTCGTGTTTTCTTCTCTTTTCACTTCATTAAATTTTAATTTTTGTCTTAATGATAAAAGTCGACAAAAGAAGCGAACAAATATATAAATAAAATTTTCGTATGATGCGAAATAAAAATAAAGTTAACAAGACTCACGATTCATTTCATTTAGCATGTCACATTGAAGGCTTCATCGCATAAAATATGTAAAGAGAATAGGAACGTAAGATAATAAACGGAAGTAAGGAATGAAAATTTATATCTTAAAGGAAAGAAATGAAACAAGCTAATGACGTAAAAAGGAAAAAGTAGAAATAAATGGAAATAAGAAAAAAAAGGAAGTCGTTTAAAGGTTGATGTGGTTTCTAAGGCGCTATTCATAAATGAGGTCCATAAAAACGAGAAATTAAACCTTGTTACAAAATTTGTTTGAAGAAAAATTTCTTTTGTCTGAACCATCACAAAACTCTTGACCCGTGGTAAACCCTTCCTCCTAAATGTTGAAAACCATTTATTAACGTCCCTTAGTTCTCTACAACTTTAAAGCTTCGGTAGATTTTCTTGAGCAACCAGAAATTTCTGTAGTTTTGACTAATTTAAGGCCAATTATGAGAAATGCAAGGATCTTAACCCTTTCAAAAAAGTAGCTTTTCTAATTAAGAATAAGCATAAAATCGCAGTAGCTTATAAATCCCGAAAGTAAAGACATATCTTAATCTGTACTTCACCAACGGAACCACGGATCTTCAATCTGAATTTAATTTATAAAAACAATATAAAGTCATAACTGTAAAAAAAAATCCAATATCTGACATGCAAAACTTCATAATTTATTAAACCAGAAAATCTAAATCTACCGGAAAATTCAAAAACAATATTTTCATCACTTCCAATAAAAATCACGCAAAAAAATAAGTGAGGAAAGAATTCATAAATTTATCTTAACATTTCTTTCATATGCTTCGCTACATCAGACTTGGTGGGGTGGACGGAAGAAAGTATTTTGTTGGTTATTTATGGCGGAAATTGCGTATCATAATGAAGAATTATGCTTTGTTAAGTTGTAACCTTGAGCCATCAAGTGAGTTAAAGTACGAACAAAACGTCATGAAAATGTTTTAAGGAAGCTTTTACATTGCAATGATAATTTATATATATTTTTTTGTTATTTATATGCACATCCATAGGTCGTTTTTCATACTCATATACAATATCCATCTCAGGCCGTCATAAAATGGTAAAAGCCTCCCTCATTTCTGACAGGTAAAATGGTGCTCACTGGTCCGTGCATATTTGCTACATTGCTTTCATTTCAAGCTCCTTTTTTGAAACTTTCATGATTGCCATTACTGTTGATTTTCTTTTCTCCTTCGTGCTCAATGTGTAGGCGAACAGAGGCAAACGATTCATTTTTCTTCCTCACTGGATATGCCTTATGCCGAGGTCTGCTTATTTAAAGTACTTGAAAAAGAAAAATCACATAAATTGCAATTACCATCCTACACAAAATATATACAGAGTCATTGTAGATTGCGATAGAAATGAAAAGGTAAAAACAAAAGAGAGTTGAATAATCATTTAAATGATGACAGGAAACATTTTATGCATGTAGTTCATTTTAATTCCGCTTTGGAATTTTTTTCCATTTGCGCTCTCTCTTTCTCGTTCTAGATGAGAGTGGCTTAACATTAAAAGCGTTTAATGTTAATAAAAATTAATGTTGAGAGAAATTGCTCAGGCACATGTAATCCTGAAGGAGGTTCCGTAAAGATTTTAATTGTTTAGTGTATTATTCACATCAAAACTTGAGATCGCTGCTGGGATTTTATTAGGGATATAAAAATTGTATTTCAAAATGCCTTTCTGCATTGAAAGTAGCGTAATCTTTACAATATATAAATGAATTTTCAGTTTAAGAGATGATAGGACTCACCAGCTTCGTTCGATTGCTTTATACTCCTTGTTTAGGGCAGGTTAGCGTTTGATGTGAACAGAAACTTTTAAATAAGGAAAGCAGTACCGAAAAGAGTGTGTTGTAGGGCTCACTTCGTACCCCCTCCTCCTCTTTTCCCTAGGTTGATGCACATAAAAACAGCATGTCAACGTTCGTTTATTATTTTTCTTTCATTGCATTTTATAATCTTTTACGAGGCATAACATCCATGAAGATGTGCTGAATCTTTATTTTTATTTTATTCTCATTCTTCTATGATGAAAATTCACCGCTTTTTTGATAACAATGTCTACACACAGTAAGTAGTAATAAAATGAAATTTACGGTATATTTCGTTTTTCCATTATGGTATCTTCCGCTCTCCTTCACATCATATTCCACTGTCTCATTTTTTCTTTGTGAGCTTCCTCTAAGAATATTGTAAATCTCTTTAATAGCCTATGGTTAAAAGGCGATATTCATTCACTTAATGTTTTCCTTTCATGTTCAAGGTTCAAGGAACTTTCATTTCTTGCTTCGATTCCCTTTTATGCTTGCTTTATTTTTCCACTAAGACAGATTAATGACTTGATGGACTGACTGATTGACTGATAAATTGACATAAAAATGTAGGAACGAACAATAAATCTATTTCTTATGTAAATTTGTGTACGAGCTAGTAATGGTGGAAAAGTCAGATAGTAAAAATGGAAATGAAATTGTATGTTTGACATCAGGACAAAAATTGATTTAATTAAAATAAAGAAGCAGACTTAAAAAAGCATTCATAAAGATTTCAATCCTAGTCAATCCACATCGAATCTCCCTACTCTTATTAACATTTTTCCTTCTCTTTTCCAACTTGAAATTCGCTACACAGCACAGTCATTGTCATTGTCAAGGTTGAGTGTTGTTCTTGAAAATGAATCCCATTAAAATGTTGGCTCAATGCCTATAAATTCTTCATTCTTTTCATCCTTCGCTATTGAATATCCCAACCACTCGTTGGTTGTGCTTGCTGCAAATTTCTTTTAATGCTTGACTCACAAATAAGGAAAGCCTAAGAGCGATTAAAGCTGCCGACAATGATGACGATGAAATATATTGAACGCATGAACGATGAATTGTTTGCAATATTGAATGTGAAGTAACGACAAACATATTGAAAATAATCGATTGTGACATGCTGTAGTGGTATGTAAAATAATTAACGAACATATATATTTTATACTGACTGAATTTAAAATTGACTCGATAGGAGTCACGTGATAGAGATAAGTTGAAAATAATAGTTATAAAAATAACATTTTCATTAGTCCGTGTTGATGCATGCTGTCACTTTATGTGTCGAATTGAACTGGTCGCTATAAGGAAAACAAGAAAATTTGTCAAAACAAGTTGAATGTGGGGAGATTAAGTGTTTGGATTAAATGT